ATGGCTGCTTGTGTCTGGCGGTGGTGGGACACTGCCACTGTTTCCATCCTGGGTTGCCGCAGCTTCGTTAGACTGTACTTCGTTTTCCGCGTCAGCGCCCGAGTTTGGAGCTGTGCCAGAATCTTTGGTTTTGTTGCCATCATTCTTGGAGAGTCCCCATGCACGACTATATGCCCTCTCAGGCCAGAGGTTGTGTGCATCCTTAGTGTTGACCGAGACCTTGGCTGATAGGGTGTTGCGTTCAGCATTGTTGTCTGTTACCACCATTCCCACGGAGTGCACAGGGGCAGGCTTTCCTAGAGATGTTGATCGCTTCAGGATGAACCTATTCAGGCAAGCTTCTGTGGCGTCCACCTTTAAATTGCCCACGAATATGAACGTTCTGCGGGGTCCACGTGGCTTGACTGCTGTGGCGAGTGTCCCGAAAAAGAATTGAAGAGTCATCAGACTCAGCCATAGGCAGCACAGTCCCAGGTATGGCTTCACTTGTCTGTGGCACAGGCCAGTTTGCTAGAAGAAGGATGCACGGCTTGTGTTCCAGTCTGGTTCTCTTTTTGGGTTGTTTCTTAATTTTTTTTTGCTTTTTCTGCTTTTTTTAATTTTTTGTTCTCAGTGGGTTTCTCAGCAGTTTCTACTCAAGAGCGGGAGCAAGTCTTGCATAGGGGCACTCGGTGGCTCTCATGCACATAATTATAGGAGGCATGGGCAGCAAAAACCAGGGTTAGGTGATAATTGGCGAAACTGAGTTTTTGATGGCTTTGAACTGTCCACTGAATGAGTGATCTATGGGCAAAATTTTGGAGCTCTGGGCGCCTTCCAAGATGGTAAAAAGAACGCCGGAAATGACGGGTGAAGGTCGACAAAAAATGGTCAGCAAAAAAAAGGCAAAATGGAACGGAGTTACAGTTGGCTCTGATGGAGTGGTTGAGAATAATTTAGCATACTTATAGGTCTTCAGGGAACCACAGATTACTCAAGTTGATATTATAGTAACATTGTTGCGTGCACTTGCTGTTATGAACTTGAAAACTCAATCGCTGTCATGTGCTAGTCTGGTGTTGTACCCAGACTTGTCAGACGGAAAGAAGCCGAGCAACTGACGTTTTACATGGCTGGGAAGAACCTACAAGACCATAGCCAGCAATCGCATGTCATCACGTACATTGAAAATCAACATAATTTTGCGAATCGACCTTTTTTTCAGGATCACTTTTCAACGAGGACGAAGCAAAGTCGGCCGAACGAAGCCTAGAGGAAGAAAATCACCCTCTCCACTTCACCATCACGATACTGACATAGATACGAGATGAAACCACTAAAAAATCCACAAGAAAACTGTACGGCCATCATCGCGCTGACTTTGGTCTGAAAATTTCTATCACGATCAAACATGTACGAGGAGCACTCAAAAATAAGCCACAGACGTACCTTTATCGCTCTCTACCTAGATATTGCATGCTGGGCCAAGCCAGATACATCCACAAGCATGTCTTGCTCTCCTAGGCAAAGTAGCTCGTAGATACACGTACATGCATTATACATGTGTACTGTGACAAATTTCATGCGCACTGCAAGTGTGCATGTATACTTGCAGCAATTTTATTCACAAAATATCTTGTATCAAGTAAGGTTTAGTTCATTCAGGGCTGTCTCCGTATCTCACCAACTTATGCAGCTGCGAATAGTCGCCACGGAGTACTGAATTTCGTTTGGCTCCATTAACTAGCTGCCACAAATCAGGCGCTGCAACACAGCAAAGTTGTCTCCAAGCCCGACATGCGAGCAAATGTCCCCGTCAACGCCATTCCCCTCTCCTCTATCGCAGAACGCTCAAATCTTTTCGAGGCAATTCAAACGTCAGCCAACTACGTCATTATCATGTGCTCAGTTGGTCAAAGAGCACACGAAAAGGGATTTTCCCAAAATGGCGAAGAGATCGATCGAAAATTTGAATTTGCCGAGATAAGAATATGACTCGCGATATCACTGGATTCGGACATCGTAGGTCTTCAGCGATTGTTGCATTGGAAAGTTTGGAGTTTCCACTACCAGTCCCACATACCACGTCATAGACCCTTCGATTGTTGAATTTGAACAAGAAATGATGGAGTTACGAAGGTTTTACGGATCGATTCACATACACACCGTACATAAAGGGCTAACTTTCCTTCAATTGTCTTCACAAAGTTATTCACGCATCCCGTGGATTTGCCGAGAAATTTGCTTATTGGGGTGAGTAGAAACTGAATAGGGAGCGTTTGTCAGTTGGCAACCTCATTTTGTTGTCATCTTCGAGTGGACTGTAAATATAATAATGATCTCAGCTACAGATGGGGTTTCAATTCCACATAAAATATTAAGTGTCGTATTTGTATATTCCTGCAACACATCAATGAAAGCAGCCTCAAATGTACTGGAACAATACAGCAGAACTTGTCTCTCTTAGGCCGCAGTCACACCGAGCACGATTCAGCCATTCAGCCGGAAAAAGCGCTTGTTCGCGCCACTATTACCATGAAAATGGCTGAAAAATGTCCCGCACGTGACTAGCCCTCAGCCGGGTTTTTTCCGCTTGTTTCAGCCACAGCTTGTACAAGCAGCTGCAATCCGAAATTCAAAACTATAATTTGAGTGTACTTGCAAGCTTGGAACACACCATGTAGTGGACATGAGGAACTGACAGTGATATCGATGTTCTTTTATGTTTCCGTGCTATGCCTTTGCCTTTGTGTTGTACATGTGGCTGCACACGTAGCTCTTCGCTGTACATGTGGCTGCACACGTAGCTCTTTGTCGTACTTGCTTCTGCGTTCGTGTCTCTTTGTCGTACTTGCTTCTGCGTTTGTGTCTCTTTGTCGTACTTGCTTCTGCGTTTGTGTCTCTTTGTCGTACTTGCTTCTGCGTTTGTGTCTCTTTGTCGTACATGCTGCTGACCCGTGGTACATGCCGCTGCACTGTCTCCTGACCCCTCCGTATGCACTCTTGCTCGTCTTGTCCCCCGGTGTGTACGCATTTTCTCATCTTGTCTGTTGTATTCGTCCGGTTGCCATCTTGTCTCCGTTACATCGTCTGCCGTCTTGGTCATCCTTCCCGTTCAGTACTGGTTGTATTACGCAAGGGCACCAATTTCGTGTCCACCGCCGCACTTTTCCTCACGTCTTCACAATATATTCCCTTTTCTCGTCTTGTTCTGGTGTCAATTGTTTCGTTGTCTCCTCAGAGAAGGAACTATAATAACTATACTCTCTATAAACCAAACAAGTTGCCCTTTGGTTGTGTGGTGCGGACGCGTTAAGGAGAATAGTTCATCCCAGAAGCTAGAGGTAGAAACGTCGCTTCAAGTTCATGACATTTGTCTTTGGTTTTGACCGCGTGTCTGTCTATCCAACAGTTCAGTCTGATTTTAATTTTCTCTGAAGACCTTGGATTCCTGAACTTTGCCTCTACAGCATGGATTTTTGAGCTGTGGTTCCAGGCCAAGACAAGGCACCAAACTCAGGACTGAATACATGAAGAACTTGAGCCGGGTACTACTCTCCCCCCCCCCCCCCCCCTCCCAGGTATGAAGAAAAGAGTGGATTGAGACGGAGTTAAAGAACAGCAACCGGCGGAGCAGAACGCTCCACATCAAGAAACACCACCCCGAATCATTGCGTCCATGCACATGCACACCGAAAAAATATAAAGAGCACGACATCACAATTCAGGATCCGGGCTTCCTTTTCTTTTTTATCAAAACTGAACGCTACAACACGTACAGATGTAGATCCCCACTGGTATTCTTTCCAATTTCTTGCGAACGTTGGCATGTTTCGAGATATTCAAAATTTGACAGACAAGAAAAACAAGCCAATCAAGCTTTCCACTCAAGATCTGGTGTGACCGGTCGGCAGGGAACACGAAAGCCAGCTGAGTGCCAGTGATAACAAGCCCAAAGGGGCTGGTTTCGGTGTGACCGCAGCCTTAGACAAGGTGTTACACCGGGTACAGTCCAGGTGCCATTGGGTTGCATGTGCATGCATGTGTGCGTAAATGTGCTGTATTTGTGTTTATGTATGAGGGCAATGTCAGTCGATAACCAGTCGATAGTCGGTCAATAGAATTGAATCTAGTCGATAAGAATTTGGGTCAGCCATTTCAACCCTTAAATAACCCTTTGCATGCTGGCCTATTTTCTCCAGTAATCTGGCACTCCAGAGCACTGACTTTCCTGTTGGAGTTTGGGCGCACTGCTCCAGACGAAATTTTCTCTCATTTCAGTTCCCCTGGATGGAATTTCATCATCCTGGGCTTGTTGGAAAGATTAGGGCCAAGCAAATCCATGTTGGAAGTTCTTAGCTCCATAGCCCCACCAGGGCTACTTCCACGACCTCTCCAAACTGGCCCACCATGCCTTGGAACAAAACAACAACTCAGTCACACATTCATTTTTGGATCCTTGCTCAAATTCAACCGATTTTCACGATTCAAACTGCTCTGCAAAGCTGAGCTCCAAGTGCTTCTTTCGAATTCTGTAACGTATGTGCTGGGCAAAAGGGAAATCCCCTGGCATGCTCCAAAAACTGCGAAGTCACAAACAAAAACATTCGCGATCGCTCCATGTCGTGATTTCAGTGTTCTTTTTGTCGCCGCTCTGTCAATATCTATCCTATCGCAAAGAACTGAATAGTTCTGGAAAGCTGAGCTCAATACCCTTCCAACAGTGTATCTTTCTTGGAGATCGGGTGCCCTTTCACAGAGTAACGGAAGTTTGTACACTGGTCTATTCACCACGATACACGACGCAGACCGAAGCGAGTGTATACACGTCATCAGAGAACCAGCATGGGGTTCAGGCGCGTGTATACACGTCGTCCGCCTTCAAAGGGGTTAAAACAGTACCCGACATGACTCCCAAACGGGTCACTTGTCGGTATTCTTTTTCCAAACGGTTCCAAGTATCCCCCTCCCCCAAACCGGGTCCCTGAACTGGCTGACCCGGCTTTGGAGCAGTCACTGACCTGGTGGGCTGGTTGGTGGGCTGGTTGGTGGGCTGGCTGAAGAAGTGGTTGGTGTACTGGCCCGCGTGCTGCTTTCTGAACTGTTTGGTGTTTGATGTTTGGTGTACGACTGTGTCGTAGTCCAGGAGTGAGTCCATGCTGACACTCTTGTTGGCTTAACAACATTGATGAGGAGAAGCAGAATCATGACTTGCTTTAGGCGCAGTTTGGAAGCAGTGCTGCAAATACTCCTGCATGTTCCGCCTTCCATAACCGGCTAAAGTAAGAGGCATACAGAATATAAGATTAAGAAAATGCAGGCAGAATAATTAAATGTGTTAGCAGAAGATTCAATTTTTTTAATCTATTATCCGGTCTTTAGTCGGCGGTGAATAGTTAGTACCACACATAGTTTCAAAATCCTGAAGGACTCCTCACACAGCTTCATTATACATAATTTGTTTGCAGGCAACTCGCCTTATCTGTTTTAATATTCTTGCACAACTTGTGCATCGAACTTTTGCCATGCGAGCGCCTTGACACCCGACGGCTGCTCTTTCGTAAAGTACAGCGTCTATGGTGCGCAACGTTTGCGAACCCCTCCAGTCACCATGTGCCTGATAATCACAAAAATCTCAAGGCACAGAGTCGCTCACAATGTGTCCTTGACTTAGGCAATTGTGTGTCAGGTGAGGCACTGGATCTCCTTAGGCATAGACCTGGCTTATGTTCCGTCATCTGGCAAAGCCAACCAGACTATTGTGGAGGATGTGGAGGTGGGAATTGAGAAAGGCGTACTCCCCTCGTTGTCAACGAACAATCACCTTGATGTTGCCAACACTGGTCCCGGCACATGTGACCCCAACACCTGGTGTCTTAAAGCACACGGCTTCCAACAAGGCCCTAAGCAGTGAAAGGATGAAGAATTCAATCTCGCGAGCTTCAAACGTGAAGCAATGGCCTTTACAAAACTCCACGCATACCATCTCCCAACATGTCTCACTCTGATTGAGAACAGCTCAAGAAGGTGGGAAAGAATGAGTAAGTGATCAGCAAGAAATCAGATAATTCTCGTGGCCACACTTCGACAAAAGGTCACTCTTCTTGTTGACAGAGAGGTGCTTGGGTGTTTGCGCATTGAGGCAGAGTATTGTCGACGGACCAAGCTTTAGTTTGTGCCCCCCCCCCACACCCGCTTCGCTGCACTTGCAGCTAAGGTCGATGTCTTCACCAGAGTTTGACGCAAACCCTTCAGCTCTCAACAATACGCTGAGCAAGACCCGCGTTCAAATTCAGGTCAAGAAACTTCGTTTTCAAGCAATCCATGCCTCCAGGTGGCAGGCAATGAAGGCAAGCTAGCATTTGGTCAAGTGTACTATAATGACCTGGCAGCCGGATAGGGTAAGCAGTTCCGCACCTTCTTTCCTTGGCAAGCTCTTCGCTGATTTTGTTGTTGTTTCCAGACCTGCTACTTCAGCAGAACAATGCGCCACCAGTAGCGCATTTTAGGAATTTGAGACCACTTTGTTCTTGCCATCGTCAACTTCAGCATTTCGTATTCAGGAGAGATACTAGGATTCTTATACCCGAGCTTGCAGTCTTGATAAATGCCCACGCGAACGATGTGGGACGTCACGAACTCCAGAAACGAAATGCGCTCTGGGGCGGAATAGTGCGGAGCTCGATGAATTTGCTTGGTGCGGAAGAGAGCTCCGACAAAGTCCGAGGCCACCACTGCTTCAGTGACATGTAGACATTGCGCAGGAAGGGTCACAACAGTGTTTGCACATGGAAGACAGCGATTCCGACAGTCTGACTAAGATAAGCCGAGTCACAAATATTGCAATTTGCGAAGCGACAATTTTGATGACGCGGAGGAAGTAGTTTTTAGTAGACTGGATGCACTGCACTGGCGAAAGCACAAGGCGATGAAGAGTCACCGTAGCGGGCATTGGCATCGGAAAAAAACAGTTTTGTCTTTTAGTTATTTGAGGATTGCGCGCTTTATTTTACTTCCTGCTGGGGATCACATTAAATCGCAGTTTAGGCAGTCTACCCTGAGGATGCATCCCGGTGTGACTGCAAATTTTAGAAGAATTCATGGGCATGAATCATCGCACTGTACCAAACATGACGCACTGAAGGAATTCTGCCAAGCGGACTTCCACACCGGGACGGGTCAGGAGTTGCACATTCATTGCCTGTTCGCTTGATGAAGTAAAATGCAGAATACCATACCACTTATGCCACAGCACTTATCCCTGGTGTGTTCCGCAAGGCTTGCTACCAGCTGTGTGCGCAACAGCTGCAAAGCTTTGCAAATGTCTGCTTTGCCATGAAATATGTTGAAGTATGTGTTTTTTTAGTCAAGCAAGCAACAGTCAACATAATGGCAAGCCGTGCCAATGTATACTCCTGGTCAATGAAGTCCGATAGCATGAGCCAAGTACGCGGGTACTGGGCAGCCTGAAACCTGAAAACACTGGGATATTTGATGGTCCAGGGCGCAAACTTGACTCACGCAATCTGATTTCATTGAGCAGCATTGCGTGTGGGTGGGACATGGGCGGTATATGAAATTCGCTCTCATGGGAAATTCAGAAATTGCCAATGTTTATGGCTGACAGGCACAACCTGCAATCATGAATAGTGCCTGCCAAGCTACTGGAGTGGTAAGTCATGGGAATCCACCATGATGAATAGTGCAGAGCTAGTCATATTTCACTGCACAGTCCAGCAGAATGGCAGCGCTCCTCCACAATGCACCCCCCCCCCCTACCATACGCATTGACCAGGCCCATTACGTTTACAAGATCACAACTGCAGAAGTGTGGTCCTACAAAGCCCCACCACTAAGCCTGGGCCAGCGCTGGGTTCATGTAAGCAATGCCAGCAGTCCGTGATAGTACAAGTGGGAGCGCTTTCGAAAGTGATATCTACCACATTACTTGTACTAGCAAACACCGGCCAAAATGTCTTTCTTACATGTGACGCAGCAAAGCCTACACTGGCCGAAGTTCTACTACTACGACCATGACACTTTCAGTAATATAATAAAATGTTGGACTGCTCGCATATCCTTGCGCGTAGCCCCTACACATACAAACAAGTACAAAACATAGTATTCTGGAAATTGTTTGTGACTTCACGTACCGTTTTCCCGGCCCGCTCACTGCTTCTGCATCGCCTGTTCTTCTCGGCGAGACTCGTCGTTACTCCGGCGTGCTGCATGTGCCCCACGACGCCAGGGGAAGCACGCTTCCCTGCCGATAAACCGGGGACACCGTTACTACTGACTTCTCGGAAACAAACAGCAAAGAAAACTCTCTTGTCCACGCTAAAAATTCAAAAGATGAAAACGGCTTTCTCTGCTAGCACAAAAAACGACTGGTGCCTCAGTTTTGTGTGTAGAAGAAAGTTCAGCGGTTGCTCTCTGAACTGGTGTGGTTTTCGCACTATGTAGACGCTGGCGCACAGTTCAATCTAACCTACACGCAGGCCAGGGCTTGTCTACACCGAGTCCGTTCTGCACTGTAGACAGTGCAGTCTCTAGCAGTCACAGCCACTTCTCACCTGTGCGGACTCTGTTCTCCAGCAGCGCGCCATTCCGCTCGTTTTGGGGTGCGAGGCTGACTTGTAAAATCCACACACACGCATACACAGAGCTTGCGCACCGGATCCAATGCAATAGACAGGGTCGAACAGACGTGCCAACAGCCACCCTCGTATGGCACACTGAACGTGTGCATGGCGCTTGCCAAATAATAGACCCTTTGCACAATAAGCGAGAGGGGTCGAGACGGGGCATGCTGTGCACGCGCTGCACACTTGGCATGCAACCAGCATGCGTGGTTTGCTGCAGGACGGGATCAAGTTTCCTGTGACAGGCTGTGTTTTCACGGTCCCGACGCGATGTTCATGTATGTACTCCGCAGCCTTTTTTCATTTTGAATTTTTTTTAGTTCTGAAGGAAGAAGTTCCGAAACGCTTTCCAAGGACCACTGTTGGGTTCTTGTTTGCAGCAACCGTCATCCCTGACGTTAGTCTAAGGAACCCACTTGTTTTTCCATGCGTTCCCTGGTGATGCTGGCATTCCACACTCTGGAATCCTGGCTATCTGGCGAGAAGAGGGCCGCAGTGCTGCGATATCGTTCCCAGTGTTGTGCTCGGAACACTTTATCCATGACAACTTTCATCCGACCTTGCTTCTGCGAAGATATGGAACGCCCTGCCAAGAGACTCTGGAGCTTGAGAAAAAGGCATGACCCATCCCTGTCTTCGCTATTGGAAGATCGACTGCTTGCTGGCGCTGCTCGAGCTGTTGATGTTGAAGTGGAGAGAGACGCAGCCTCATCGTTCAGGTGTGCGGAGAAAGTCATCTGAGTTCGAGCTGTGGCTGTGTGCACGATATGACAGACTTTCACATTATGCACATAGCCACCAAAGTAAAACTCATGGACACTATCAACGGGCCTGTTCACTTGTACTACTCCATCAGCTCCCTCTTCACTGTCGTCGGCGACTTGCTCCTGCGTTGGAGACAAGCAAGCATGCTGTGGCACTCACTCTGGGAAACAGAGGTTCATCACTCATCCACTGGGACGCATGAAATGTTGGGCATGATGAAGGTACACTCGAGGAAGTGGTGCCCTTCTTAGTTCTAGCAGCATCAGGGTTCTGCATAGAGAAGTGTTCTCTACATCGACAGGGGAGAGAAGGTAGAGAAAAGAAAAATAAATTTCAATCTACAGTAATCCGAAATATCCACTGAATGCGGAAAACTTACCTCTCCAACAACTCCTTCTTTTTCCAGACAGATACGCACCCTCATTCAGCAGAAAACTGTTCAGTTTCTTCACAGACCATTCTTCATTTGACAGTTCGTCCACGGGTTCCACAGCCATCGATGGCAAACCACTCGACACTCTCTCCTCCATCTCCAAAATGGAAAAAATAAAGTGTTCCACCATGCTCAACAACTGATACTCTGCACAAAAATCGAAGAGGATGCCCCGTCTCGGATCACGTGACCGTTATTGTGCAAAGGGTCTATTATTATTACCTCCACATCATGCATTGTCTGCTTCCTACACGAAAGGATGCGAAGGTAGATCCACAAGCCTAGCTCCAGGAACAGAGCACGGTGACTTCATGTGCACCAACTAACGACATGGCGTCATTTCATGCGATTTACTAATCCAGACAAATTTACATAAACCGTACAAAATTAGGTACATTGCTCTTGTAAACCCTGGAAATACGAGGAATTTGGCCAACGCCAAAATAAATTTTAGCAGCGACAAGAAATCCAGCTACAACCATGCACATCGAGTCGAGTGAAGAGCGAAAATGATAATGGAGAATTAGAGAAGAAGATCTTCCTGAACTACTTTGCTTGAGAGACTAGTGTAACCTAGGAATGACTATATGCGTGTACTTTCTGTCTTTTTGAAGGCGGAGGCCGAACGTCGCTAATTTCCATCACGCAGGACAGCATGTGCTGATCGGTGACCGTCTTCAAGCGCTGATCTGTTGCAGGAATGTTTTTGAAACTTTTTTCGTAGTTGTTGAAGGTGGAGTGGATAGATTCTGCGCCGTGTTCCCCCAGCAAGCCAACTCCAACGCCAAGTACCTCCATGAGGGGAACAACGTGTTCCTCGAGCAGGTGAAGCTTGGGGGTAATGTTGCCAATGCCACGAGAGACCACCTCGCGCCTGCACAACGCCAAGAAGTCTTTTATCAGGGCTCGCAAAGACGCAATCTCCTCGGCAGTGACTGCAGCGCTCTTGCTAAAAATATCACTGCAAGCAGCGTACTTGGTGAACAGCTGCTTGTATCTATTGCAGACTGACTTTGCGTCGGCTTCCAGGGCTGGACACCTCTGCCTCATGATGATAACGGGGGCGTCTGTCAAGGCAGTGACCACGGTGGGCTTCAAAGCAGCATGGACATGGTTGCCATTGAATGCGCCACCATGGTACACCTGACGCTCGATGTGGTGCTTCTGCAGAACGGGATCCAAGGAGCTCTGCAATGGACCATGTAACTCCTTCGCCTTGCCTGTGACTTTCTGAATCTCTGTTTCAAGTTTCTGCTGCTGTTTCTCAAGTTCTGCACGTTGGCTAGACACGTGCGTCAAACCGTCCTGCAACTGGCGTGCCAGCTGCTGCCATTCGTCACTGTCTGCACCGTGCTGCTGTGTCCAGAATACGGTGAACTGGAGCTGATGTTCTAATAGTGTCTTCTGCTGGTCAAACTCGGCAATGTTGGCACGGATGTTATGCACTTCTCGATTTTTGGCCGCTAACAGTCGGAATCCACTTCCATCGGCTTCCACCGGAGTAGACTGAGCAGCAAGTTTTACATCAAGCTGGTTAAGCTCGCGTTCTAAACGCTCAAAAAGCCACGCGAAAATACCGAGGTCCAGATGCAGACCTGGAACGACAGCGTCGGCAACTGGTATGGGAAGCAGGATTGGCCGAATGACGTTGTTAAAGTTCTTGGCGTGACTCACTCGTGACCCGTCGTCCAGGAAGCGTTGGTGGTCGTCTGCCAGTGTTGTCAGTGATCTTGGCTCTTTGCCCTCCTCTGGCTGACGACTAGGGTCCTCGGCCATCGACTTTTTCAAACAATGGCAATGCAGACATGGCCTGGCACCACTCGGGCCTGACAAGCCATAGTTGCTACATTGGAATTCATAATCTCCGAAGAGAAAAACACGCAGGCGCTTATCCTGCCAGGCCATACCCATCAGCTCACTTATCTGGTCCTTATACATATCTAACGCTGCGTGCAGATTCCCGGGAGTATCCTTTTCGTTGAAGATGCAGATGGGAACAGTGTTCTTGACGGTGTTTGGATGCCAGATGTTAGCGACCTGTGCACGGCATAATTTGACACCACAGCAACAACACAATGTTGACATGACTGAGATCCATGTACATCTAGCAGTTGCCACATTGTAATCTGCAATTTATTTTCGCAATCATAATATGATAAATAATGCTGGTTGATACTAATGATAAATTCTTACCTGAAAGCTGAGCTTAAATGTGCCGCCACCATGGTCACCGCCGACCTTTATCCATACTTCTGCCTCAGGTATACCATTGCTCCATATGAGCCTGTCCGCGCTCTTCAACTTGTCAACGAAGAATGTGACGACACTGATGAGATCGGGCAGATATATAGTAGCAGCCATGACAATATCTCCACTTCGCTTCATCATTGGAATGTGTTTCACACTGTACTGTGGGACTTGTGTGGCTGTGAACGATCTCATCTTCCTTTCTGACGCCAGCTCCACACCCATGGACTTCAGCCATACACGCAACAATCGGAATTTGTTGTATGACAGCTGAAGATCAGCTTTCATTGTCAGAGCTATATCCGGACTGGTGGCTGAGTTGTGCAGGCCTATTCCTCGGAGCAAGCTCTCTTGCTCGGCTATTGACAAACGCTTTATGCCTGCTGCTTCCTGGGCTCGCAGGCCTGTCTCTCCACCAGTGAGCGTCCGACCGACTGTGCCCAGTTCCTGCGACCGCCGCCGTACCGTTGACACTGATGCGGCATCAGATGACGTGCTGGCGACAGTTATTCGCTGGTATACCTGGGGTCTACCTCTAGAGCCGGTTTTGACTTCTAGTCGTCCTTCAATGGCTTTGTTTGTGACGATCGCACCGGCGAGCCGATCAGCGATGTCACCTCGCATCTTTGATGGTGAGGCCTGCAGGATGTCACCGACTACGGATGATGCACTGACTGCTCGAATAGGCATTGCTGGCGTTCCAGGATTGAATGAGCAGTCCCTCACATGCTGTTGAAGACTGCGCAGCGGAACTGTGACAGGGCACCCTGCTAGAGCTGGCTCATGGTAATCACAGTGTACTGTGAAGTCTTGGAGGAACCCACAAATTATGTTGTTTGGCTGCTCTAGCTCTGATGCTTGCATGGATGCTGTGCATTTAGGGCAGGTGGCTTTCTGCTGTAGCCAGCTGCAAATGCATGCACAGCAGAACATTGTCTCACAGCAAACTGCCAGCACTGCTCTCTCCACCACATTCTGACATAATGGACATTGTGCTCGCTTAATGACGTTCCGATCAATAAACCGTTCCGGCTGCAGAGGTTTACCAGCTTGATATGCGGGTGTGGCATGCTGCTGGACATCAGACTCCGTCCTATCCATGCCACTTACTGGTGTGCTGGGGCGAGGGTTTGTTGCTGTGGCTCCCGTCTGTGATGTTCTCGTGCGCGTGCGTGCGGGCGATGGGGTTTTCTCCCATGCCGCACGTTTGTCCTGCATTTGAGTTGCGCG